AAACTGCCCAGCCAAGCAGAAACAGATCCATAAGGTATAAGGAAGAGGAATACATAATTAAACATGTCCTCCTGAAGCCTAGAAGGAGAGATATCCAGGCAAGACTCAAAGGAGTCCTTGTCTCTCCAAACTATTTGCTCATACTGTGTGAAAACAAGAAATACAGGAGTAGAACCTGAACTGCACATAATCTGAGTACAAATGCAAAGCAGTCAAATCTACAGAATAAAATGTGGGAGGGAAATACTGAATATCTTCCCCTATTTCCCAGCAGAATGCATTTGTTTACTATGCCTCATTTCTTACCTAGCCTTAATCACTGAATGGGTATTACCTCAGACAAAGTGAGACCGGGGAATAATCTGCACTGAAAATGGCCAACATCTCCCGCTGCCTCCAGGGCCATCTCCAGTCATCCTCATCTTCATCTTGCCACTGGACCCAGATGGCTCCAGAGGAAAGAACGAGGCTGGCGACTGCACTGCCCTGCCTCACTTAAAATCAATTCACTTGCAAGTGATGGCATCACCTTCCTGACATCGTGATCCTCTTTGAGAACAAAGGACAAAGCAACAACAGCAAAAAGCCCTAGAATGCTGAGCACTGAGGCAAGGATGAAACACCGGGCTCAAACTACATGCTACCATTAAAAAGGAATCAAGGAGAGACAGGGGCTAATCCCTTTCCAGGACCCTCCCTGTGGTGAAAAGAGAAGATGGAAGACTCAGAGCCTAGGAGCAATTCTGCATTTTTAAAATGGAGATAACAGATTCATCCACTTCTTATTTACAAGAAATTTTTAAAGAATAAAATTAGAGAACAAAAGTAAAGCATTATATATATAAATGCAAAAGTATCACACCCCATAAGGTATCACAAAACAAAGACTGGGAATCACTGTCCTAGTCAAATTCATTCATGCACATCAAAAATCGAGTTCCATTCAGTGTGATCACACAAACATACAATTTGGAAAAATGAGTCAGGCTCTCAGTGGCTCTGACCATCCCTACCACCATTCATTATGTCTATCACCCTTCCCCCAGCAAGGGGTGGGGTAGTTATATCGTCGTAAAGAAGCATAAATTTTGCTATTAATTTTACTTCTACTAAATGAACTCAGGAAATTAGAAAGCTGTTTATTAAAACCTTTATAAGGGCAAACAACTCATATATCCCATGGCAATTTTTCAGATACATGTAGGTGTGTGTTTTACAGAGGAAACTGGAAGCTACAGTTGGAATAAACTCCATTCTGCTAAACTAGTATCACTGTTGCTTCCTCAGAAAATTCAATTGATGTAAAATGGGAGTCTTTCACAGCGGCCAGACAAGAGACAAGCACCACTATGTCTCTCTTCACCCCACTCCTTCCTCCAAGACCCTAATGTAATAGTGTTTAAGTTGTGGCTCTGGATTTTATATAAACAGCACCTACATATTACATATTTAAGCATCAAGGGTTAGGTAAGGTTTTTAGAGAAGAACTAGATTTGAAAACAAATAATTTTTTATTCTTTTAAACACTACAAGGACCTAGAAGCATCAACTGACATAAAAATTTTACTTTGAAATAAAAATTTTCATCCTCTATTTTCTATTCCTATTTTCCTTCTATTCTTTATTTTCTTTTCCTTATGGACTTAAAAAAATGCACTGTGCCAATTGACACAGCTTGGTCCTTGTGTTCCGCTTCTTCTAATATTAAATATGAACTCAGAAAGCAAGAAACTTAACTCCAAGCATTTTTTTCACTAATTTCCTCATTAAAATCCATAGGGCTCAGTACTAAATATACATTAAAGTATTCAGTGACCTTCACATGAAAGGATTCTAAATCCTTGGCTTCCCTATAGCTGTCTTAAGGAAAATATATACATACATATGTTCTTTTCCAGTTTACATAGCAAAATGTGGCTGCAAATATATAATTCTACCTTCCAACTATGTCATTAATACAAATTACCATGTTTCCATACATGCAAGCAATTAGGACTAGGCCTCAGGGATCAGGAAATTAACTAGATGACAACAAAGCAGCCCCTGGCTAGACCAAACTTGATTATCTGAATGTAGTACAGAAGCCACATCAAAAATTCCAGATTTTTGAAATTCCGGAGTTATTATACCCACCCCCAATACCACAGGGGAAGGGAGTTATCTAGAAAACAAACTAGCAGGGGGACCCACATCCCACTCTCCATCAAGGGGAAAGGCAAGGCAAGGAAGCACTGTCAACTACAGGTATCCTGGAATATTCAGACAAAACCCATGGCCAAAGACTCATCAGATGCAGATGATCGATGCTCGCCCAAAGGTTACAGCTTCTTCAAAACAGAAGCACAAAGCTAACACAGCTGAGTGGAAAGGGCCCTGGATTTAAAATCACAGAACCTCAGTTCAAATCCTGGTTCTTTCTATCTCCTGTTAGTCAGATTAGAAAAATTGACATAAAAGGAACAACTGATGGAGGGGTCACTTGGAAAAAGGAACATGAATGCACTATTGGTAGATCTGCAAATTGGTCTGGCCATTCTGTAAAGCAATTTGCAACTAGACTGCCCCAGCCCACTAAACTGTGCCTTCATACCCTTTGATGAGGCTAGGCCTATACCCCAAAGAAATTAAAGAAAGAGGAAAAGGAATAGAAGAAAAAGAAAAATATATACAAAAATGTTGATACATGTTTTTGTTGTGATGAAAAAGAACTGGCAACTAAGGGGGTGCCCATTAATCTGAGAATGGCTAAATAAAGTATGGCATTAAAATATAATGTAATACCATTATATTTTAAGAAATGACAAAAGGGATGGTTTCAGAGAAACCTGGGAAGACTTATATAAAATGACACAAAATGAAGTGAGCTAAACCAAGAGAACAATTTATACAGTAATAACAACTTGGTACAAATAACTCTGAAAAACTGATCAATGCAATGAACAATCACAACTCCAGAGGACCAATGATAAATCCGGTGACTTGACAGTGAGGTAAGGGACTCAAGATGCAGAATGATTATATATATATAGATAGATAGATAGATAGATAGATATAGGGACACGACCAATGAAGGAATCTGTTTTACTTGATTATGCATTTGATTATGATTTGATATGCATGGTACAGTTCCAGGCCTGCAGTCAGGAAGAGACTCATCTTCCTGAGTTCAAATCTGGCCTCAGACACTTACTAGCTGTGTCATCTTGGGCACTTAACCATTTACCTCAGTTTCCTCATCTGTAAAATGAGGTGGAGAAGGAAATGGAAAACCAGTTTAGTATCTTTGCCAAGAAAACCCCAAATGGGGTCACAAAGAGGCAAACACAACTGAAAAAACAACTCAACCACAAAATGCATTTTTGTTATGAGGTTTTGTTTTTCTTTTTTCCCTAGTGGGAGATAGATAGGAAGTGAGAGGTAAAAGAAAATGACTGCTTGTTAATTGAAAAAAAAAAATTTTTTTAACCATAGCTCTTCTTTTTCTAGCTGTGAAACCTTTGGTAAGTCACCTCCTCTCTGGGCTTCAAAAACCTCATCTGCAAAATGAGACCCAGGCTAGATAACATACAGATTTCCTTTCCAGTTTTAAATCCAGTATGTGAAAACTATCCACCAAAAGGTTGCTTCCTAATAAGAAGGCTGTATCCCAGCAATTCATTTAGAGAATTTAAGTAATCAAGACTGATAAATCTGTAAAAAGTATTAACTAAGATTCAAAGCATTAGTATGCTGTGATTTGGAACCAGTTTTCTTAAGTTAAAATTTCTACTCAGACATTTGAATAAGTCAGAGCTACACAGCTCTAAGGCACATGGTTATCCAAGCAGCCTCCACAAAGAGCAAGCCATCCCTTTAATGCAGCTTAGGTTTATGAACAAAGTAGTTGCCAGGAATGCACTCTTTCCGCAGAGAGTGGTTTGCCCAGATTTCAGTGGTTTGCATAGGTTTCGCTCCTTTCCCCTGGAAGTTTCAATAGTCTTCCGACACCTTCGTCTTGGAGTTATGGAAACATTGACATAAAATGTCAAAGTGACTGAACATGGAGCAAGATGCACAGCCTAAGAGCCTGATTCAATCAATCAGACCCAGGATTTTGATCCTATTTAATGCCAGGAGAGTCAGGGAAAGATGAGGAGTTGAAACGCTTTTAGGTTAATGGAAAATAGCCTAGGAAATATGTCAGAAAGTGGAAGACAGCCCAAAACTTGCTCAAAGTGAAGCAACCAGCAGCTGCCTTTATTTTAAAGCCTTAGACACCAGACACCAGGGGAAGATCTAGCCACTGAGGGGAAGCAAAACTGGTCTCACAGTTTCCTTTCTAATGAGAAACACAGCATTACATTATCAAGCAAGACAAATCCCCTGAGCCCCATGCTTTGCAAAAGTTGATGAAAGAAAGCAGTTGAAAATAATTTTCTTCTACTGTATAGAAGCTGCTGTCTCCCTCATCATATTCTAAGGAGCTTCTTATGCTGGAAAAAAAATTCAAAGCAAAATTCAAGCAAAGGATATCCAAAGGTTCTTGTTGCAACCCATGGGGAGACATCTCCCACTGGCTCCTGCAATCGTTTCACAATCCCTGCATGTCAGCAGGTAGACTCGCCCACTTTCCCGATTACCTACAAGTTTCTCATATTTAAAGATATGACGTGCTTTAACTGACCCCTCCAATGGCCAGAACAACCTATTTTCAAACCTATCTTTCTTTAGCCATGGCAGAGACAGGATATCTAAAACAAATGGCTGGCTGCCTTTTGTCCTGACTTTCTAAATTAAAGAATACCTTGGCTCTTCATATCTCACACTCCAAATCCCTTCATCCTCCCTGACCTCAGCTCTATGTGATGGCATCCGAATCCAACAGACTCTGAAGAGAAGCCTGTTGGAAATGTCTTCGGGCTGGGCTTTTTGCACGTCAAACAGCATGAAGAAATACACATACTGAATGCATTAACTTTATACTGTACAGTATACATGAGTAAGAAATAGGAAATACTTACTGCGAGGAACAACATGCAGTACATGGAAAATGAAGAATGCCCGGAATAAAATGATAATCTGGGAGAAAAAGGAGATGAGAAAGAACGACATTAACTTCCTTTCTTCTACATTAATTCAGATAAACAGTTACCAACATTTTCACAGCCAAAAACAAATGGAAATTTTTTTTTTTTGGTTTGTTTGTTTGTTTGTTTAAACTGGGCAGTCCATGTTATTTCCCTTGTCTGATTAAAGAGTCAGTGTAACCTTGGGAAAATCACTTCTGAGTCTCCAGTTTCCTCATTTGTAAAGATTAAACTATCGGATCTCCCTTCTAGCTCTGGAAAAACTCTGATAAGTCTGTTTGTATCAACTTCCTTAAAGATTAAGATTGCAAGTTCTCCAAATCACAGATAAAAAAAAAATTTCTGCATTTCTGTCTGACTCTAAAACTGGTCAGAAGAAAAAAGTGAATTAATTCCTTTCTGCATATTTAACACTGACCTTATATGAAGAAAACTAAATCAACCTCACTAGGAGAAGAAACATCTATCAGGATCTGACCCTTGAGACTGGATATAATTATCTCACCACAAGGCTGCAGGGACCTGGGACCAACTTCTAATAGCAAAGCAATACAGCCAGCTGGGCTGCAGGGACAGTTGGGGGGCCACTTGTTTAAAAGTAAATTGACAAGGCTTACTTGAAAGTCAAATGCTACAACCACCGTATAAAGATCAGGACATATTTGTCTTTTTTGTACATGTAATTTGGTTCTTTGTCCTTCGGAGAAAGATATATTTTATTATTTGTTTAAAGACAAAATGGAAAAAAAGTGGCAAAGTGAAATGGTGAGTGACAAAGACTGTACTGATTTTAAGTACAGAAAGAAGACATGTGATTATGCATCCTGTGTCCTAAGAGTACTGACCAGTCCATAATTCTCCCTTGTACCACATCAAGAACCCAAGAATTCAGAATCCTGGCACTTAGTTGCCTTGTGGACCATGAGAGAAACATGATTGGGCTAAGAATCTATACAGGAAATTTCTCAACTGGAATTGTGCCCCCAACAGCTCACAGTACACTATGCTCCAGTGTCTCAGAGAAAACAAAACATCATCTAAATAAACTCTCACACAAAGTATCTAAAGTTTCCAACACACACAAAATTATATAATGAGAACAAAAAATCAAAATCACAAAATGCAGCTGAACTGAGAGCCATGCTACTCTGGCTACTCAAGAATCCTAAATTCTATAAAGGAAAATTGTTTCCAAAGCAGCATCTGCAGTGCACAATATTCACTTTTCCAAGGTAAAAGGTATTACACATCAAGGCAATTTGATAAAACCAAAGGTTAATGAAAAACTGAGTGATTCTCTATTTGCTGAAAATCCACTCCTCAATACAAAAGCAATCCTTCCTGAGGCTCACCCCAAAAAGTTTGGGAAATGGAGGTGAAACAGGGGTTCTCTTAATGGCCAATTATTGTACCCCCATTTCCCAGCAGGTGAATTTCAATACCTCATTCTTAAGCATTCTTTCTGCTAACACAGATATCTCCACTGTACACTTCGAAAGTCTATACATTACATTTGCAAGGCCATCCTGAGTAGACATTTTTCAAGTGGCCAGCCAGGTAGCATTTATTAAAGGCCTTCTATGGGTCTGGTACTGTGCTAATTTGGGGAGTTTTGGAGGTAGAGCTCCAAATCTAGCTATTGAAAATCTGGATTTCTTCCTCTGAAAACTGCCTATTCATAATGTTTGACCATTTCGAGAATGTCTTTTATTCACAGAAATTTGAATCAGTTCACCTATTAGACAGACAGATAAATCTCAGAAATGAAACATTTTTAATCAGAGAAACAATGCAAAGATTTTTTTTCCCATTTACCCACTTCTAACTTTAGCTGAATTGACTTATGCATAAACATTTTCATTTTATGTAATAAAAATGGGCCAATTTATCTACTGTGACCCTCTCTCTTAATCTCTTAATGTGTTATAAACTCTGTCTATTCATAAAATCTGACAGATAATTTCTTCCTTGCACCTCTAATTTGTGTATGATGTCTCCCTTTATTTCTAAGTCATATAACCATTTGGACCTTGTCTTGGTATATGGTATGAACAATTGGTCTATACCTACTTAGTTTCTGCTTCCCAGTTTTCACAAGTTTTTCTTGAAAAATGAGTTCTCTGAGGTTGTTTTCATTTGCTTCTGTATATTGTATATCTAATCTATTCCACTGATAAATCTGTTTCTTAACCAATACTAAATTGTTGATGACTATTACAATGTAGTATATTTCAAGATCTGATACTGCTGAGCTACTTTCCTTTCCACTATTTTTTCATTAAAATCCTTCAATATTTATTATTGATCTTTTGTTCCTCAATGAATTTTGCTATTTTGTTTTATAGTTCTATGAAGTAAAAACCTCTGGTGGTTTGGTATGGAACTGAATTAGTAAATTAATTTAAGATGTATTTGTCATTTTTATCATATTGACTCAGACTATCCACTATTATTTTTATAATAATATAAATATAATTACTTCAATCTGTATTTGCATAAAGAATATTTGGTAATTGTGTTCACACAGTTGGTGCATGTGTGCGTGTGTGTCTGTGTGTGTGTGTGTCTTGGTAGGTATTTTATATTTTCTACGGTATTTTAAATAGAATTACTATATCATTTTCCACTGGATTTGGATGGTAACATACAGAAATGCTGATGATTTATGCAAATTTATTTTTTTATATCCTGCAACTTTGCTGGAGTTCTTGTTTCATGTTTTTTTTCATTGATTCTCTAAGATTTTCTAAAAGAAAAAAATAAGACAAAAAACCAATATGTCATCTGCAAAAAATTGCAATTTAATTCCATCTTTGTCTATGCTTATTCCCAAATAAGGGTTTTTTAAGGAGAGTGAGACCTAAATATGTTTGTACACAGTTGGGAAACCAAGAGACCGAAACTTAGTGAGAGCAGAAATGATAGGTCAGTATGATGAAAGAAACATGACGGAATGGATTCACTTGTGCATGTAGAGAGGTTTGCTTTGGTAAAAAGGACCTCTTCATAGGGAATAAAGAAACAGACAGACTTTTGATAGAAGATATTATCATTAGTTAATTATTATTGTTGGTATATAATTATAATTCTATATTAATAATATATACTAAAACATATAACATGTATTTTTATGTTAGTTATTATTATTAGTCAATCTTTGCATACACGTGTGACATTTCTGTTGTCTCCTCCAATTCCAGGTCTAAAACCTCTTAACACAAGTGGAATACTACTCCAAATCTGCTATGAAATGGTCAGCCTGAAAACTGACTTCTGACATAAATGCAAAAATAGTTTTGTTTGGACCAACACAGGCCACAGGCTACCTGGATCAGGAAATAAAACTTCTGATGAGATTTGAAACCAACAAAATTACATTCCACCAAATGCAAAGAGGCAAGAATGTCTTTTTTTAAAAATCACACTCTTTAATCAAGGGCTGCAGAATTACATAAAGTTAAAAGAGTAACTACCACAAAATCTCACATGGATTGTAAGAAACATCACAAGTAAGACTGACAAGCATACTTTTCAAGTTACTAACAAACCCATTTCATCCTGTTATTAACAACACTCATTGTCAAGGGTTGGGTGGTTGTTCTTTCTCCTCTGTTGAAATCACAGTGTAAACTGTTTTCTTGGCTCTGCTTCTTTCACTCTGTATTAATTTGTAAAGATCTCTCCATGCTTTTCTAGATTCACTGATATGCATCATTTCTTACAACACAGTAATATTTCATTATATTCATGTACCACAATTTAAGCCACTCTCTAACCAACACATATCTTACGTTATTGCCATTTCTTTGCTACTAGACAAAGTTCCACCATAAATATTTTGGTATAAAAGAGGACTTTCTTCCTATCAATGACCTCCTTTTGGGTGTAAGCCTAGTAATTCAATCTCTGGATCAAAGAGGAATGAACATTTAAGTTACTATATTTGCCTGATTCAAAAAATGTTTGTACTACTTCACAGTTCCACCAACAATGCACTAGTGTGGCTATCTTATCATAACCTATCCAACACTGACTGTTCCCATCTTTTGTCATCTTTTCCATTTTGTAGGTGTAAAAATGAAACTTCAGGGTTGTTTTGATTTGCATTTTTTCTCAGCTCTTATAAGGTTATTGATAGTTTAATTTTAATTTAATGAATAAGCAATTCTTTTGAGAACTACTTATTCACATTCTTTAATCACATATCTGTTACGGAATGGTTTTTGGTTTCGATGTAGAGACATTTTGGATACCAAACACTTATTTAAGAAATGGGATACAGGGGCAGCTAGGTGGCACAGTAGATAGAGTGCCGGCCCTGGATTCAGGAGGACCTGAGTTCAAATCCAGCCTCAGACACATAACACTCACTAGCTGTGTGACCCTGGGCAAGTCACTTAACCCCAATTGCCTCGGAAAGAAAGAAAGACAGAAAAGAAAGACAGAAAGGAAGGAAGGAATGAACAAAGAAAGGAAGGAAAGAGAGAAAGAGAGAAAGAAATGTGATACAAAAATGTTTTACCATTTGTTCACTTCCCTTCTTAACCTAGATGCATTAGTTTTGTTTTGTTTTGTTTTTTAATGTAGAAACTTTTCAGTTTCATGTTAAGGGCTGTTAGGTGGCACAGTGAATACAGCAGATCACTGGGCCTAGAGTCAGAAAGACTAGAGTTCAAATCCCACTAGCTGTGTGAATTTGGGCAACTGTCTTAATTTCCTCATTTGTAAAATGGGGATATAATAACTGTACTTATTTCCCAGAGTAGTTGGATCAAATGAGGTAACATTTGTAAAATGCAAAGCGGCTGGCACATAGTAGGTGCTATATAAATGACAGCTGCTATTAATATTATTACATAATCAAAATTACCTATATAATCTTTTATGATTGCCTATATCCCTTGTATGGTTAGTAATATACCTTTAAATGGTACTATATTTAATATGCAGGTCAGGTATACATTTAGAATGTATTGAAGAATACAGTACAAG